CCCTTCAGCTGTCCAAGACACAATTGAGTACATATGTGTATGCTGATGGGGATCAGACCTTGTGTTCCTCTGTGGGGCTGTGGAAAGGGTACAGGACATAGCACATATGCACCTGTGTGACACATGCTGTCCTTGGGGAGGAGACACAAACGGAGTCCCCATGGCTTCCTCTGGAGAGGAGGACTTGAGGAGGGGATCAGAGGAGGCGTGTTTACTGAAGGATTCATTTTTGTCCTATTGAACTTCTTTCTTCCCTTCTCCCTACAAAACTCCGGTTGCCGTGGGGCTTCCCTGCAGATACTGGGGGCTGTGGGCGGGACCCCATTAGGAAGCAGGAGAGCAGAGAGCTGCCTTTCCCCAGTGGAAAGGCCTGGGGGGACTCATTCCTCTCTGCATATGGCTGCACCTTGGAGGTTCTTGGGAACTGGGTCTCCCCGCCTAGTGTCCAGCTTCCCACCCCTCACCCTGTGCCCTGGCTGGGGCAGGTGGGTAACTCCCAGCACTGTGGCTGCAGGAAGACACCCCGGGCAGGCAAGGCTCCTCGGGAAGACGGAGATCCTGGTGGAAGTGGGATTCAGGGGACTCGAGGACGTTTTCCAGGATGAGTCGTCCAGAGGTGGGTACATGGGAGCTGAGGGTCAGGGAGGTATGCCCCTCCACAAGGGCTCCAGCCAGGGGGGCTGAGGCCAGAGCAGGAAGGCAAAAAACAAGGAGGCTGGCAGTGTGCTCTTGTGCCCTGGGGAAGGGTGTTTCTGTCTCCATTGTCAGCTATGGGGAGGGGCTGTGGCTCCGGAGGCTCCAGACTTTCCCCTCTACCCCTGAGATGAAGAGCCAGACTGCTAGCCAGGTGGATCTGGTGTGCAGGCCTCAGTTTTCTCATCTGTACAATGGGGTGGTGTGGCCATGGGAGGGGCTGGACTCTGTGGACTCCTGGCAAGGGGAGCACACTGCCTCCAAGGCCACATGTTCTCTCCTTGGGGCCCCAGTATTTTGAAAGTTCTGCTGGACACTGAGGCCTCACCCTGTACACCATCAGGCTGGTTACACCTGTGTCCTGTGCTTTCCTTGGCATTGATGTCCTTTCTTGGTTTGAGCTCTGTGGTGTCGTACATGCTGTTGGTGCTTTGAGCACCTGTGCAGAAGGAGCATACACCTGTGTCCTGTGCTTTCCTTGGCATTGATGTCCTTTCTTGGTTTGAGCTCTGTGGTGCCGTACATGCTGTTGGTGCTTTGAGCACCTGTGCAGAAGGAGCGATGGAGCAGATGAAGGAAAGCTTTGGCTGCAGTGCAGGCACAAGCCTTTCCTTCTGTTCCTGGAGCCCTGCTGGGCCTGAACAGCCATGGACAGGCTGCTCCTAAGTCCTGGGAGGCCAGGGGTTGAGGGGACAAGAGGAAGCAGCTTCCACATGAGGCTGCCCATTCCAGGCTCCTCCAAGGCTTGGACACAGCGATCTGGGCCTACCGGGTTGGGTGCCACCACCCCTGTCCTGTGTTTCCTGGGATGAAGGGCGGGACGATGAGGTCCTCAGGAGACATAGGCCCCCAGCAATGATGCCTGTGGTGATAGACAATTTCTCACTGCGGCCCTGATGTGCTTCTGGCCCAGTCCATGCAGGAGGCAACAGAGGTGACGCTGAAGACCGAGGTGGAGGCTGGAGCCAGTGGCTACAGTGTCACAGGTGGCGGCAACCAGGGGATATTTGTCAAGCAAGTGCTGAAGGACTCCTCAGCTGCCAAGCTCTTTAGCTTGAGAGAAGGTGCCACAGCCACCCCATCCCTGGGGTCCCCATTGACCCCACCAGGATGGGAGGGACTTGGAAGGGGCCCCTAGAGGGGTGGGGCCACATTCAGAGCTCAGGATGACCCCTCATGCCTCTGCTCAGCTGCTTACAGGCTGGAGGCCACCCGCTGCACCCTGGCTTTCTCATCTGTGAAGTGGGGTGACCCCCACGTCCTATTGCTGAGGTGCTCAGTGGAGCACATTCATGACTCTGCGGGCCCCTCCCCACCAGCACCAGGACTAAGGCCCGGGGGCTGCTCTTTCTCTGTCTAGGGGATCAGCTCCTCAGTGCAACCATATTCTTTGATGACATTAAATATGAAGATGCTCTCAAAATCCTTCAGTACTCAGAGCCATACAAGGTTCAGTTCAAAATCAAACGGAAACTCCCAGCCACGGAGGATGAGGAGTGGTCCAGCAGTGCTCGGCACGGCGCCCAGGGCATGGAGAAGCAGGTGAGGACCCCTGGTCCGCTGGGCTGGACCCCGCTCGCGTCACTGCCCCCGCTGAGGCTGACGTGGGCCAGCACGCCCACCCTGTCTCCTGAGCTCAGGGCCTCAAGCTTCCTGAACGGGCACCAATGAGTCCCCTGTCCCTGTTTTTCAGGAGAAGGACATTGCTGATGGATGCACAGAGACCCCCACGAAGACACTGGAAGGAGAAGGAGACAGGGAGAGACTCATCAAACCCAAGTTGGGGAGAGGCAGGCGGCCCCAGAAGGAGCGGCTCTCCTGGCCCAAATTCCAAGCAATAAGGAGCAAGCGTGGGCCCCGGAGGTCCCACAGCTCGTCAGAGGCCTATGACCGTGGGGATGTGCCTGATGTGTCCCCCACGAGCACAGACACAGAGGTGCAGCTCCCGGATGAGCCACCACAGCAGAAGGCAGGGCTGGGCAGAGACAGGAGGAGGAGATTCCTGGGCCTGAGATTCAGGACGGGCTCGGGCCGGGGCCCATCTCTGGTGGTGCAACCAGGAGCAGAGGTCCAGGGAGGGATGGGTCATACTGGGGTCTTGGAGGAGTCAGGGACCTGCGACGACAGGCTTGAGGACACAGGGGCTACTGTAGGCAGCAGGAAAGAGGAGAGAGCAGCACAAGTGCAAGACATGTCACCCGCGCAGGGCACGGAGAGGCCCGCAGAACCTGGTGAGGGAGCACCGGGAAAAGCAGCCGGCCTGGCAGCCAGGCGTCAGAAAAAGATGAAGGCACAGGAGACCACGACCCCGAAGAAGAGTGGGGCCCCCCCAGCTCCCAGGATGAGCTGGGAGACTGAAGGGGAAGAAATACAGAGCCTGGAAATGGGGATCGCCAGACTGTCCCTACAAGACACAGCCACCCAGGGAGTCACACAGAGTCGCACGCCAGAAATAAGGGTTAGAATACCTGATTTAAAGGCACCCAAATTTGGATTAAGAAAAGACACTGTGCGGAAAACAGAAACAGGCACTTCTGCCCCGGCGCTGCAGCTGCAGCACAGCGGACGCTCTGCAGAAGAACCCGGATCCGAGGTGCAGAGGGGGCCAGGAGAAGAGGGGTTGGAGGCCAGAGAAACCCTGGAACGTGGGTCAGGGCAAGAGGAAATGACAGAAAAGGAAGCAGAGGAGCACAGAAAAATGGACAAACACACGGACCACAAAGACAAGGAAAAGAGGGAAGAAAAGACCAAAATGCCCAAATTTAAAATGCCCTCATTTGGGTGGTCACCCAGCAAGGAGCAAAGGACAGTTGAAGCAAAACCTATACAAGGAACAGAGACAGAAAAGGACATCCACATCACTAAGGAAAAGATGGAAACAAAAATAACAGATGACAGTGCACACAGGGATATCACACAACACGAAGAAACTCAGACACACACAAGAAAAATTAAAAAGGGAACAGAAGAAAGTGAGGGGGACCTCTCCCTGGGAGAGAAGGACGTGGCCGCCAAAGACAGCAAGTTCAAGATGCCCAAGTTCAAGATGCCC